AAACAACTTTTGGTTTACTTGAACATAGCTTGTTTGTTTAATTTATCAAGTCATCTATTTCACATATAACTAGCAAAATTTTATGTACGGTGATTAAATAGAGTCAAGTTATATTATGTAGAAATAACTTCAGAAGTGATAAATGTACATTATTTTATTTAGTGCAATTTTATTAATCGTAAATTTACTTGAGATGTATCTGAGCATATTATACATGTCATGAGTGGGTACTTTGCATTATTTCAGAATTCTGGTGAGGCATCCGTGGCTAATATTGATAAACTTAGGCATGCCAATGGTTCGACTCCAACTGCTGAGCTAAGACTTCAGATGCAGAAGGTAGGGAAATGCTGTTAAAAAAAATATGTATCTCTGAAATGCTTTTTTCAAACTCGAAGTGTTGTGGTTTAGTGAATAATATAAGATAAAGAAAACAGACCAAAAAGAATTAAACTAAAAGTTTAAAAATAGATAAAAAAAGAGCACAGTTAAATACGGTATGGTGGAAATTTCAGAAAAACTGCATTATCTGGTAGGGATAAATAAGACTGATCTTGGAAATGACACAACATAGAGATAAAAAAGTTCTGAATCTGTTTGTATTATTCACCAGGACATGCAGAACCATGCTGCCGTGTTCCGTGATGGACCTGTGCTGAAGGAGGGATGCAGGAAACTGGATGCGGAGTGGAAACAAATGGACGACCTCAAGGTTAGATATCCGTGGAGAAAGAGAGAGAGAGAGAGAAGGGGGAGATGAGAGGCAATGAGAGAGAGAGAGAGAGAGACTAAGACAGAGACAAAGAAAGAGTTCGTGTGTGAAGAGAGAGAGATGGTTTTTAGTGAGCATAAATGGCCAGTGGGGGGGGGGGGGGATAAATATAGAGCATGGAATCTAGTAAAGATTGAAGATAAAATTATAATATTTATAGTATGAAAAAAATCCTCTTTGCTCAATGCAGATACTTGTGGGCTTAGAAATGATGTCAGTATGGGTGTCTAATGGTCCTATTTCTAGCCACTTCACACACACACATGCACACAGAGAGAGAGAGAGAGAGAGATAATAGTAATAATGATAATAATAATCAGTGTATTATATTATTCTTAGGTGTCAGACAAGAGTCTGATCTGGAACACAGACCTGGTGGAGACTTTGGAGCTACAGAATCTGATGATTAACTCCCTGGAGACCATCTACGGTGCTGAGGCCAGGACAGAAAGCAGGGGAGCCCACTCCAGAGAAGACTTTAAGGTAGACGATAATGAAATTAGACCAGAATTTTACTTGATTTCTTGATCCTTTAATAATTTGCTTGATAAAGATATGACAAATTCAGTTAATAAAGGACTTTTTTTGATATATTGCACAGTTGTTTGGAATATTTTAAGTTTATTGTTTAATACTTTGCTTTGGCACACACTCTCACATACACAGATGCACACACATATTTGTAGAGAAGAAAGGAAATAGAACAAAGAGATTCTAAGGCTTGGGTATCATAGAATGGAATAAGATCAGAATTTTCAAGTTGAATTATATAAATCTGTTGCCAATGAAGTACTAAGCAACAGTATGAAAGCATGCATGGTGTAATGTGTGTGCTTGCACTCACTCTCCATAACATTAACAGCAGATAATGCAAAGATGATATTTTGTGAATTTGATGCAGATTGAATTTATTTCGAAGTAGTGGTGACTGACCGTAATTATGTGTTATTCTTCAGGAGCGTGTAGATGAGTATGACTACAGCAAACCTCTAGTGGGACAGACACCCAAACCATTGAAAGACCACTGGAGGAAACACACACTGTCCTATGTGGATAATGATACTGGCAAAGTGAGTTATAGTGGAGAGAGAGAGAGAGAGAGAGAGAGAGAGAGAGAGAGACGGGGAGTGGGAAGAGAGAGGGAGAGTGGCGGGAAGTGAGCAAGTGAAATAGTGTGGGAGTGCAAGAAACAGGAGAGAAAGATGCTATATTACCAAATTAAGTTTGTGTGGACATTAGTCAAAATTTCATGATAAGACATGCTAACCTTGATGGATGATAGATGAGTCTCTCAGCAGTCATGTAATGAGATGTCTAAAATAGTAAGTTTTCTTGTTTCAGGTGCGACTAGACTACAGACCTGTTATTGACAGTACTTTAGATGAACAGAAAGTACCAAATGTCCCCCCTGCTATAAGATCTTATTAAGAGATACAGAGAGAGAAAAAAATAACATTATTTTAAGCCAGATGTGATGTGATGGTATAGTTTGCTTGTACTCTGAAGACAGATATTTTCTGGATATAGAAACTAAAGAGTTCAGTCATAGCATGGATAAAAAAGAAAAGCTGAAGGGAACAAAATTGGGTGCTCTTCTAGGTGACTTATTTATGGTTTAGGAAGATGATGTTTGAATTCCTTGTTGATACTCCAGGAGCCATATTTGGACATTGTCACCTTTTTATTCAGTCAAATTGAGTTAAACATAGAGTGTTATTTGGCTTCTGAATTTGTAATATAATTTTTTCTTGGTTTATGAGTTCTGAATTGATCAGCAGCTGGACATTTTTTAAAAAAATATTCATTTAAATGTGACATTAATCTAAGCAGTGCTTTTGTGTATTTTGCTTATTGCCATCTTGGGACTTGTGTCATGAAGATATCACAAGAAAACCATTGTTATTAGTGTTGTTTGTAAAATTAACCTGTCTTTGATGGAGAGATTTACCTAACAAACAACGATAATGAGAATTTGTTTGTGATAGATACTTTGCATAACTGGCCTCAGGATGGGTAAGTTCATGTAATATTGCCTACACCTGTGCCCAAATTATTATAATCAACGTGGAAACCTAAGTATATTTTACTAAGAAACTAGTGAATATGTTACAAGTGCACTAAGGCCATTTGCCTTGATAATAATCAGTTTTAGTGAAATCTAGGCAGCTTTTGATATTAATTCTTTTAGCAAGACGTCATCATGTTACTTGGCAAGATGTATTTGACACTTAACTGTGGGAAGAAAAATAAAGATTTACGTGGATGTAGTAAACTGTTATATCATTCATGTAAAGAGAACTTCAGATTGGTAAAATGGAGATTATCAGATTGAGTTTTCCTTGGAGAAATTTTAGTGAGCATTTCTGCTGATACACTAGATTCACACAATATTCTATTTCACACCATGCAAGCAAGTTTTGAATAATTTATTTATTGTTTTGAGAAAGGAACAGTACCTTTTAAATGAGAATAACTTCTGATTAGTGATGGACGTTGTTTATTGTCAATACTGGAAGGAACTTTCATTCTCTTTTGTATAAAAATAAATGTGTTGCATATTATTTTCTAGTTTGTTTTCTTTTTAATGAAGAATATATCTGCCGACATCAGTTTGATTTTAAAAATTCCTTTAAAAAGCATTTATTAAAATGTGTTCTGGCACATTTTAAAGAGCTATTTGGGTGGTGAGAGCTAGATGTGGAATTTTATGACATGGGCCAAAAATTAAACAGTTGGTCATCAAGTTTGTTTTACTTGCCACCATGACAACAGAAATTTTCAGTCACTTTGCATTAACTTTAAAGAGAAACTTTAAGTGAGATGTTTTCCATAAAACCCATCCAAGTGCCACTATAATTGCATTATGTAAAGAAATACCAAAGAGCATCATTTCATATTTCACAAAAATGATATTTCGATGGGTATTTTCTGCTTTCTTTCTGTGATATTTAGCAACTCGTTTAAATAACTGTGCACTCAGCAGTATTGTGCCATGCACTTATTCATCAGTTTGACAGACTTTTAAGGACTGGTGGGACAGACGAGTAGGTCAATTTAACTTTAGAAATTTAAAGGAGCTGCGGTTTAAAGATCCTATGGTTGATGTTGTCTTGGCCTGTCAATTTTATTCAATTGGTATAAGAATCTAGTAGAAGTGGTTTATATCTGGTACAGATTATCTATGCTCACTTCATATGTAACTTTCAACTTTGGGAAAGTGAAAAAAAAACTACATTTTCTTTTTATAATAACATCTTTATATACAACATATTTCAACAAAATATAAATATTAATACAAGTAGCTTGTTACAAGGAAAATGCTTTTTAAATACACTATATATAAAAGAAGTGATGCATCTTGACATTAAAGAGATATCAGTTAACATGACACTCGGAAAAATATCTTGTGAACAACTGGGCACTTCAGACCTCACTCTTAGAATATAACAACCTAAAATTTAAGTAGCACAATTTTGTCAAAATAATAATAACATTGACAAAATATTCATGCTTCTTATTAATTCCCAGACAAAGTGTTCGCCTTAAAACAACGATTAATTGGCAAAAGCTTGTTTTAACCTTAAGTGTTTTAAACTAAAATCACTGCTGAATGATATGTTTAATAAACATTTAACTTTATATTCTGAACACAGTCTGATGCTTTCACATCTTGTAACACTCTTGTGACTACTCTCTTGGTTAAATATCTCACACAACTGCAATGTGGCACATAACCAAAAATACTATTTTAGATGGAGGTCCAAGATCTAAGTTACTTTGCAGTAATTTACCAGGCTAAGCCAAGATGACACCCTATCAGGCACATACATAGAACTGACCAGTTATCAGAATATTATAATTAACATTGTAGTTTCTAAACAAGCATCAAATTCCATGTAAATTTAACACCATAAAACTTAATGTCATTCACCTTCAAGTAATTGCCATACTTAACATCTAAAATATAATTGGGATGACAGGAATTCTTTACTGGCAATGTACTGCCAAAATTAAAAGTTTGTAGATCTCATCCTCAAATAGTATATTCAACTAAATCACACTACTTCACATCACATAAAAGTTGGCCACAAAACTGACATTTTTTCCTTGCATCCAAGATACATCCACTTCTTTAGCCTTATGCACAAAATAAATAAGATATATAGTTAAAGTATATTATCCTATAATACTCATAATTATAAAAACAGCATAAGAGATAGTAATGCTACTATAATTTAGTCTGTTCTGTCACCTCTGCAGGAGAACCATTTGCACTAATGGCCTTGACCTCTGTCTGACCTTGACCTGTCTCCATTGGAGTTTCATTAGCTAGTGCCTTCAGCTCAAGCTGGTCAAGAACTTCCTGCACCGTCCGGACACAGTTCTTCCTAGCATGGCGAATTTTCTCGTCGCCATCGGACATAATACCGTCCAATTCTAACAGATCTCTAGTCAGCATCTCTGTTAAATAAGGGTACTGTTTGTCAGTCCTCGTCCCCTTAAAGTTTTCCACTTGTACACGCAATTCGTTAACATTGGCAAATATTCTGTCTATCTTCTCTAGAGCTGTAAGAGGACGTGGTGGCTCTTGCGGCTGTTGCTGTGGAGCATTCTGCTGACCTTGACCTTGAGGACTAGATGCAGGACCCTGATTGGCTGCTCTAGCTTGTTCATTAATCACCGGTTTGGATTCGTAGTTTGGTGGAGCTGGCGCAGCATTATTGTTAGCAGCTTGTTGTTGTTGTTGCTGATATTGCTGCTGTTGCTGATATTGTTGTTGTTGTTGCTGTTGGGCCTTGACAGCATCAGTCTGGTCATACTGGGGATATTGTTGCTGTTGCTGCAGAGGATGTTGTTGTGACTGTTGGTATCCTGGTGGCGCCCTCTGTTGGGGAGATGAAGGACCATAAAACGTCCCCATGGGTGGCATCTGTTGCTGCTGTTGGGGCTGTGGAGATTGCTGCCCCGCGTACTGCTGAGCCAAGTTTGACACCCTCCCTGGCTGAGGAGCCGGACTCTCTTCCCTGACTGGTGTTGGCGCCCTCTGCAGGGTGGGATTTTCACTGCGCGGGACATGCAGCCCAGGACTACCACGACCAGGGCTTCCTCTGCCCTGGTCCATGCTGCCAGCGCCCTCTATATGAATGGGGATTTTTGTGACACGTGGCTGTTGTGGGTAAGGCGGCTGTTGCTGCGGTTGTGGCATTGGAGGGCCTTGCTGTTGTTCTGACCCCATGTGATGGACAGGGATACGGATCTCCTGCTGATGATGGGCCGGGTATCCTCTCATGTTCTGGCCATATGGATCCCATGGCTGCTGGTAGTGCTGGAAACAGAACAAACAGAATATTTGAGTTTGATGTTCTTCCACATTCAATGTACTCATATTTTATTATTGTAGGTCAATTGGCACATTTTAAATACATTATCTGGGATACTTCTTCTCTGCACTGAACACATATGACTGATGGTAACGTAATGACTCACTCTTTTCTATGGGGAAAATTGTGATTTCATAGAACTATACTGCATTTTCTCAATTGATAAAAACTTAAAATTAGAAATTTCCTATCGAGTGGCAGCAATAAAATTGAGAAGCAGACTTTAGTTCTTTTCTATGCATTAAAAGTACCACAAATGATTATATAAATATCATTTTTATGATTCTAAAATTAATTATTATTTTTTATTTATTTTTGGCCATTGAAAAAATGAGTAATTATCGTTATTTAACATTATAAAACAACATTTTGAAACAAACTGCAAACCCATACTCAAGGATTTCAATACCTAATAACCTAAAAAATCCTTAATTGTATAATTCATTAAGTTCAAACCTAAAACAAACTGCAACAGAAATTGCAAAAGTAAGAACAAGAAGAAGATAAAATCTATGACTTAAAAAGCTCCTTGGCTGGGCCACAGGCGGAAAATACACATTAACTGAATACATGGAGTTCTGTGCTAATGTTATAAAGGGATGACATGACATTTTGGCATTTATTTCAACCTTGTTGCTACAGTTTAGAGTCTGGATTTTTTCTTAGCCCCATTAGTTACAGTATGTCTACATAGACTACACAGGAATTCATTTCTGCAGTTTCTGAAATTCCAGCCAGGAGGTTCAAGGTCATGAGTTAAACTTGGACTATTTTAGACAAGAAAATAACCTAATTAGTTTCAATGGACATTCAGATAACCAAGGAATTCCAATAGGTATTAACTGAGGGTGAAGGGAGGATTGAATAACATCTAAAACAGAGTAGTGCCAGTATAGTAAAAGAACTTGGAAAAATAATCCAATATCTAAAAGTAAGATTTTTAAGCAAATAAAATACTGAATCTAACAACTGATTAAAAATACAAGTTGGAAAACATGACAAGTTTGGATACCCTATGTAACTTCCAAACCTTCAGCTCTGGCTTGCAATTTCTCCCTTCTACAAAAATAAATCGCACATAGAACCTGCCTAATGACCGTGTTTGTGGTTTGACAGTTTTTAGGTTAATGCCTTTTAAGGGTTTAGAATTGAACTAGCTCAAAAGTCCTAGGCATATTCAACTTAACGCCCACTGAAAAAACTGGTCAGCAATTTGACACGCTTTTAAATTTTCAGAAAGTCAAAGAAAAGCCATTTCTGGCAAAGGATGTTGCTGAAGCTATGAATGTCCAAAAATGAATGCCAGAGACCTGCATTTCCAGGTTAAGAATAGCAACAAAAGTCACTGCCTATATGACCTCCAAACATCCTGTCATGAATTGCAAATCACCATCTCTAGCTCTACTATCAAGTCTTAGTAGTACAGGTAGGTCAAGTGTCCTCTAATCTATGACCAGGGTGACGATTCACCTGGGCACACCCGTCTTTTGAGAGGACAATAGCTGTGAAGGTGGTTTTAATCGCAGCTTTTGTGATTGATTCAAACTTGGCAAACCTGTAAAAAGCAATTTTAAGGGGGGGGGGGGGGGGCTATTTCTAAAAAAAGTGCCCAATTTTGCTACTCAGATCTCAGAAATATTTCCAGGTACCGTAATATGGTTACTGTAAAAGTGTAAACCACCTACAGTAGATTATTTTTATGATAAGGTAGATTCAATCCTGTATTTTTTTAATGGTTAATAAGGAGATTTTACATTTTTGCTAATGTGACAGGCAAGGTCACACCTGAGAGTCTCTAATCAGTAATTAATGGGCAATAACATTTTAATGTGCTATTTTTGGTTGATAAAATTTCAGTGTAGAAGGAAAAAAACTTTAACAAAATATTTTAGATTTTAAAATATTCTGAATCTTATTCCAGGATTATTGTGTTAGTTTTAAATAAATTTATGGCAGATGAATTTCAAAAATAGTCTGATAATCTAGAAAATCTCAATTTGAGTAACTTTACAGAGACATTAGACTAGTAAATACAAATACACTGGGAATAATCTGCACATCAGTGAAACTGTCAGTATGCTTGCACTCAAAGCTGACCAAGCATTTTTCAACATACCTTTGAAAATGGGCATTTACTGATAACTTTTTGGAACGGAGAAGAGAAGGGGCTGAGTCAATTCATCAATCTCCATCACATACATTATTCATCAATATGGAGATCACGATAAGTTTAGAAGCTAATTTCGTGATATGATTTTTTTCTGACAGAACTCGCCGATCAAACCTCGAAGTCGAAGGTCAATCAACACAAGGTTATCGATCAGTACAGGTAGCTGATCAACAATTTCACTTTAAATCGAGTCTTAAACCACCTTAACAAAAACAACAAAAAATTTAAAACTCTAAATACATACCGGTTTTCCTATTCTTCTAGGATCTTGCCAAGTTGTGCTTTGGTTCGAGTGGTCAACAAAAAATGGCCAACCGGTTCGCTGATCAAATAACATTTCCCAGCCTGGCGGTAAAGGATCGTTATGCATTGGATTGAAGTTATTCGCTCGTTGTTGGTGATACATTGTCCTCCTCGATCCCCGGCTATTCTTTTATATATGGCAGATTTTCCAGAGGACCACAGAACCTTCTTTAACTTTCGGGAAAATTCCTCATTCAGTGGCCATCTTGGGAATTTTATCGGAAATTTGTCACACTACGTTTGATTGGTTAGAATAGAGTACTTGTCCAATCAAACAGCGGCTGTCAAGTAGACCTAGGTTACACAGTTTGAATAATGCCCGCGTGATGTCGCTAGTGGTTAGGCAAATTGCTTTGGGTGCGCTGGGCGTTGAAGCATTTTGATTGCGTTTGTCATATTAGTTGTGACGTAGTTTCTACCATATATGGATAGTGTAACCCGTGTCACAGCCCAGGGAGTTTACAAACACGCAAAGTGAACAAAACAAACAACCAAATATTTCATTAGCGAATTTTATTTTTCGTAACAGGTTTAATTAAAATACGTCAACATTTTCCTGTTGATGTTGCTCCACCTAAAAGATTAAATTGTCGAAAACAGCCGGTTTTGTACCTCTGAAAACGGTGTCCTCTAAATTGAAGGAGCTTCATCATTTTGATTTATTGATTTTCAAAAACATTGTGTCTCAAAGTTAATTATCTGGCCTATTATTTGTACTCATAATGATAATTGTGTGCTCA